TTACTTGAGCAATATAAAATGTTAAATTTTCAAAAGTCAGCATGAATTAAAGGTCCAACTTGTTGGTTCAAACACATTGAATTTGAATTGTGAGTTATTAAATTTTCCGTTTGTGCAAGCATATAATTATTGAAAATAATGAACAGGTTCTCCACCCTTTGCTAAAAGGCCACTCACCAATGAGGGCGTAGACAAAAAAAACAATTGGGGGTGTCGTACAGTGTTTGGGACACTAATAGAAGATCATACGTGTAAATGTCTGTCTTTTTTGTTCAGGTGGTGTGTTAAATCAACCCGTTTAATGTTGTTCATTTTTTGTATCTTTATCTGTTGTATTAGAGGAAATGTAAGCCGTTCAGTGACCGGTGACCGGGACAGACAACTGACAGAAATAAAAGCTAATTACCTCCTCGAGCATAAACCCAAGAAAAAAAAAAGAATCATTGTCCTGGAAATTGTTTGACATTCCCAACTCTCCACTGATTGGTTGATGTTTAGCAACCAGTGTCTCCATAGTGACATGGAAGCAGTAGTTTGGCTGTGAGCAGGGGAGGATCACCAGCCCTAAAAAGCACTGCGGCCACTGTGATGAAGGGAAATCATTTTGTCGGGAAAAACCAACCATTCTCTCCCTCACAGATGCACGTACACACACATACACTCATGTGTACCGGAAGCAATCACACACACACGCGCATACTTTATGCACACATCCGAAGCCGCTCTTTTCCCCCCTCAGAACTCACACTCCACCAGTGGTGATATTGGGTGTTTGTTGTTTAATCTTCCAGGAAAAATACAAGCTGAGTCCCAGGATGAAAAAGTATGCCACCTCTCTCACAGCAATATCTCTCCACTGGCAATAAGTCCAGATTTCATTATACATTATGCAAGAGACAATCTTCTCTTCTAAATGAAATATGCGTGACATCTAGATGGCTCCCTGACCCAAAAGATTGGAAAATAGGATGACTGAAATTACCTGACTAAAAAGAAACATTTTGGTTACCTCTGCCACAGGATTGGTTGATCTCCTTCCTGGTGATGCTGAAACACCACCACTGCCTACATGTTTGGGTTTCTGATCAGCACACTGGAATTTTGAAGTGGACTGGTTCTCAGTGTATCCATGGAAACAATGTTGACATTGAAGCATTAACAGCTGATCCGAAAGGATTCAGCGGCCGGATTGATGAGGATGAACGCACTGGACGTGGTCACTTGTTGGTGCTGTGTACCACTCTGAAAGGTATTAAGGCTACTTGGTGCCTTCCTGTTGTCTAAGGTGATTATTTTTGCTTGTGAACAAGTGCACTTCTGCTCATCTCTCAGCTGATCTTACATTCATCACAAATCAACACAGCCACTCTTGAGAAAATGTCTGGAGTTGTTTTGATTTTTGAAGGATTTACAACATCACTGTGGATTCCACTGGGAAAACAACATTGCTCTACATAAACCAGAGGAAAACACTTGTGTGCCTCTTTTTTGACAACCCAGCTACTGATGTGTGCTGAACATTTAGCACTTTATATTTAAGACTTCCATGACACCGACCATAAGGAAGCCATGGCTGCAGTCGAGGGAGATCGAGGTTTATCCACAGACAGATTAAACTCTGTCACCTCATGACACAATATCAATGAAAGCTTTTTTGTTGGCGCCTGACCACAGTGCATAGTTGGACACTGTTAAAAACAAATTTAATGGTAAGTCTGCAGACTATGATCATACATTTATGAAAAATATACAGTTTCTTTTTTGACAGTGGTTTTGAATATTCTGCAGTCCAGATTGTAAACAATTATGACATCTATGTATCCTGGGATGTAATAAACATATAACGCCCTTAAAATGTTCACCACACAGGTATTCACACCTGCTCACATGAAGATCTGAAGAAAAAAGGCGCAGCGCAGGGTGACAGTCTGTTTCCAGTTTATTTTGTTGGGTGTGTAGAGTGATGTGTAAAAAAAGTTGTTTACTACAGTTTGGAGCAGGGGTTCTTTATGGCTCCGATGCATCACACAGTACTTTTGATGCGAATGGGAGATGATGAGACACAGCTGTTAGACCTAATTGCCTTCCCATTCCTGCTTGGTCGATGACCCCAACATTGTTAAACTGTGCTACTTAGTTTTCTTAACCCGGTGCATCAAATATTTTTGTGCAGTCACACATCGGGACCTTAGGTCAGTGATGATGATTCATAATGAAGTGTGGTTATGTGTTGCTCTGCTAAAATGACCCAGACCCTGAGGTTCCTCTCACCTTTTATCCACAGAACGGGATGGATTCTGAGGTTGCAGGCAGATCTTGATGGATTTTCAGATTCATCTCAGTCCCCAGTGTCTGCTTTTACTTTTCTTAGGAGTGTGTTTTTGTCTATTACACACATTCACAGTGCGATACATGCAGTGGAGAAAGTGTGAGGCTGAGTGACCCGCTCAAGGATGTTCCTGAGCTGCAGCTCTGGCTTTATTCCTTTGTACAGTTTAAACTACATAGAGTGACTGTTGGGTGACAGAGGTCAGACCTAGTTACCTGGTTTATTTGATCATCCAGCAGAGAGCGGAGCCACTTTCTGTTGAGGTCCACATTATTGGTTTCTGTACGATACTGGTGCAAAGAAAAGAATGTGAGCAATGATCAAGTTCAAATTGTGACCTCTTTCAGAATTATTTAAGTCTTTTTGTCTGCATTAAAAAAACTTATGCTAAAAAAATGTGTGTTTCAGGACTTTAAATGTGTATAATCATCTCTTTTCATGATTGATTTCTTGTAATCTCTTTATGTCTTCATATCAAAAGTAAGAAATGATAAACAGCTCAACAGCCTACAGATATAACGATCCACTAGGTATTTAAAAAGATCAGAGATGTCACAGTTAAAAGTACAAGCAAAATCCAGTCGTGTAAGTACTATCTATTTGAAAGCGAGAGCTAAGCTTTTAAATCAGCTGAAATTAATATATTCAGCCTCCACCCTCAGACTGTTTCCTCAGCTTAATCATCATTAAGCTCCCTCTGACAAACACTCAACACCAGTTTATTTATTTTTTCTTCTCCAAAACTGATGGTTCCAGTTCTCATATGTTTTGGCTTTGGAACAATATGCACATCTGGCAAAGAAGAGGGGCGAGCTGCTTTTTTCACAGTAACACTGTACTGACTGTGCTTAGTGGTTAAGAAAGTGACAGTAAAGGGCAGCTAATGATGTTGAGCAGCATGAGGGAAGAAAGCCAGGTCTCTTAGCAACAGTTCCTCCTCTTTGCCGACACTCTGATATTGGCTGGAATAAACACATTTTACCATGTGTGTGTTTGTGTGGCTGAGTGAGTGTGCACTTCTTCCAAATTGTAGCAAGTATCATCAATTTGACATAGCTAACAGAGAAGCACAATGTTAAATTATTTTCCTCTAAAATCCAATTAGACGTAGGTGATAGATGCGGCTCCTCACACCACAACATTTCTTGCATGTGTACCTTGTGTGGGTGAGCTTGAATGTCCATATTTCCCTTGTGTGAGTGTCTATATTAGATTCATTTAGAGAACAAACCATATAAGAGATGAAGACGTTTCACTTTAACTTGCATTATCCTCAAACTGTTAACAGTCTGGCGCTTTTGCAAAGCTGTGATGTGCATATGTGAGTATGTGTGCGTAAATGTGTTTGTTTTTTTAGCATGTACAGGTATTATTACTCCAGTACAATAAGAACATGTGCTGAAACTTTACAAAACAAAATCTAACACTTATTCCCGAGCAGTTTAATTACAAATGAAAGCATAGATGATGAAATTATCAGCCAATTTCAGCCAACACAGCTGAAAAGAGGCACATTCAGTTCTAACACCAACTTAAAAGTGTTTCACACTTATAGAGCAGGTTTTGATATTACGTTTTCTATAAAGTGTTTTGCAAATTGTCTGTCCAAGCCCCTGTCCAATTGCTGGATCCCCGTTCTCTGAGTGGAAGATGAACAGCTTCACAAACACTTCTGAAAAATGATTTCTTTTCTTCGGACCAGGCTAAAGGCACGTCAGTTATTTTTGTCCCTTTAATGGTGATTTTTTGTTGGATAGCAGGCTTATATATTTATGACCTGTTCTTGCCTGAGAGGTCTTTTTGTCATATAATAGTGAAAGAATCTGAAACTCAAAAGACATGAAATGCACCATCATGAGGTCAGAACTGAGATCTAATTGTGAAGTCTGATTTCTCAATTAATTCTTAACAAGAGATTTTACGTTTGAAATAATCTTCATTGCAATATCTTGATCAATCTCACATCCAGTTGTCATATCTTAATTAGTTAGTTTTTTTTCCTAAACAAAGAAAAAAAATTCTATCCCTGTAAAAAGAGTCAAGCAAATACTCAATGAACAGTACGTTACCAAAAATATTCTCTCACACACATTTTCTTGGATTTTGAAAATAGTAAATGTTGTTTTTCCCAGAAAATGCTTTCTGTTCAGTCCAGTCGCTGATATTTTGAATGAATTCACCTCCTGCATACAACGCTGTAGCACAGAAATGTGCAAGATGAGGGTAGAGTAATTTTTCCAGTTCATGGGTCAATAAATTCCCCATGGAAAACTCAAAGATGACTGTATCCATGTATAATTTCCTTATGATATATGATAAATGCATAATTTGTGTGAAACCAAATTCTCGCTTTGAAGAGCTTTAGTGACATCTATCGGAATATTGATGACACATACAACCAAAGAGACTATTTGGATTGAATCAGACTGTTCCACATTAATCCTAAGAAGTGAATGTATTTACTTGCCTATACTTTTTCTTCCATATAGTGTTCTCCTTTTATTCTTTCATAGGTATGCTCTTACAGTCAGGGTTATATCATCTTGTTTCCTATAGGTCTAAAGTCACTTTGCTCCTCCTCTTGAAACAAAAGGCAACAAGACTTTGTTTCCTAAAATAAGCTTATCAGAGTTCTAAATTCAGATTTAAATAAAAAACTAGAAGGCAGAAGAAGGACTTCTGAGTCAGCAAAAGGGGTGTTACATTCCTTCCTGTTGCATTCATGTCATACTGGTGAGGTGAGTATATTTCCTCGTAGCAGCAGTCAGGGTTTATCAGAGTTGAATTCCTCCCTGGGAAGTTCATGAACATCAAATATGATTCGTTTTCATTGTCTTTTGGTGTTGTTTTTTTCCCTTGTCAGTTCAGGTAAGTTCCTCTCAGTTGATCACTGTAATGTCATGTTAAGTTATAAGTGCTATTTTAATGTTTGAATTGAGATTTAAACCTTTATCTTTTTATTACAGTTCCCTCTTATTATTATCAGTCCAGAGCATGTTGTTCGTTCAAGGGTCCACACTTTGAAAGCACGGAGTATATTCTTGTTTTTAGTTTGAACAAACATGAAATGGTAGAGTACAACAGCACAAGAGGAAACTGGACTGGATTTACAGCTTTTTCAGTTATGGTTGCAAATGATTTCCACAACAATCCTCGCAATGCACCTCTAAGAAATTTAGAAAAAAAGTTGCTGTGCGAAAAGAACATGGACTTCATCAAAAGCCTTGGTAGGAAAATGTTTTCTTTTTGTTGACTTACCTTTCATAATTATTTACTGAATTGAGAAATAGGGGTGGTATTGTGAATGCAATTATATGGTTTACCAGCATGCCTAATAAAGCTAAAAATTCAGATAATGTTAATGTTATAAAAAGTGTCTATAGTTTTTAGAAGTATGTCAGTTTGACTAAATGAATCCAGAATCTAAAAGCAAAGAATCCCTAAAATGCACAAGAATCACTCCCTTTTACAGGAAATCTCACTACAGCACCCACCGTCAATATCAAACTACTGAAGCAGCCTGATGGTAGACACCAAGCCCTGCTTGTGTGCAGTGCCTACAACTTTTACCCCAAAAAAATCCAAATGACATGGTTGCGAAATAATGAAGATGTGACCTCAGGACTCACTTACTCCGATGTGATGGCTGATGGAGATTTGTATTTTCAAATTCATTCTTTCCTGGAGTACACGCCGAGTGTGGGAGAAACTATCACCTGTGTGGTTGAACACGCCAGCCTCTCAGAACCAAAACTGATCATCTGGGGTAAATCTACCTTTTGATTGGATTTATTTATAAGGCTGAGTACAGAAAGTGATGAATATTTACTTGTTTATGGCTTTTTTAGACAACTCTCTTCCTGCTAAAAAACACATCCAAGTTATTGTTGGAGTGAGTGGACTTGTACTTGGGATTGTTCTGATGAGCTCTGGGTTAATCTACTACAAGAGGAAGTCTGCTGCAAACACTACTGTCAGCCAAGGTCAGATAAATTAACTAAACACTAAAAGCTTAAACTTATGTGCTAAATAAAAGCTAATTTTTTGTTTTACCAGAACAAACACTGGTTCCTATGGACCACATTTCTGCAAACTGACCAGCGTGGAAGCTTTACCAAACACCGGCACTGTTGATGACTCGGAAACGATTTGGAAACGACTGAGGAAACGTCACGTTAACTGTTCAAAATATATTTTAACCTGTTAATTCACGGCTAGCCTTTAGAGCATGACTCAACAAGATTATTTGTAGATATGTTTCATACTGATCACATGTAGGTGGTTTATTAAGTTACACACAAGGTAACAGATAATACCACCTGTCATCTATTTATCAGTAATTGCCCTGAGTTTATATTTTTTCCATCAGATATGCATGTTTACTGAAAAAATCACTGTGTCTTCTCATTCCCAGTCCATCTCTGGATTTAGTTTTTATTAATAAACATTTTTCATTGTTACTGCAACACTTTTTCAAATTCCAGTAAGCCATTAAATATGTTTGTTTGTCCTCATATGCTCTCTCCTGCTCATTTGTTCTATACTCAAGTCATATTCACACACATGTGTGCTTTCAGAGTTGTGTGCAGAAGTCAGAACTTTATCTGTGTGGAGAAACATGACGGATTTTTCAGAGCTGACATCCACTAAGAGAATGGAGAAAAAGTGCAGAAAACAATCACGTTTAGGGTAAAAACATAATTTATGTAGCGTTAGCATTACCACGGGTTGTAAAGGAACTTCAAACAGGACTTCAAACATTAACACCCATGAAGATTTTTTATGTTTTTCGAGGAGGAAACATCTGACTCCGTAATCTGCCTCTAAAGGGAAAAGAGAAGCTATTTGGAAATGGTTAAAACAACATATTAAAACCCTAAACTCACGTTAAGTGTTGTATAACAACTTTTCATTTTATAACAACTTTTCCCACTAAATGGTATTTACTACTGCTTTAAAAGACTACACTGCACCAGTCATTTCCCCCTCCTGTTATTTGTAGCGTATATTTAATGTTTCTTTTATCTGACCATTTTTGGATGAAATATGCCATGTAACAAGGGAAGGTATAGCCAAAGTTAATGAGCAGCTTATAAAAAGTGTTATTATGAAGCAAAATTGTTCCTGCAAGAGAGATTTATATTACACTGATTGATGTATCTTTTAAAATGTCCTATCTATATACAGTATATCTGCAAAAGGCCTGAGAAGTTTAACGTAGAGCTTTAACTTACCATTTTCTAAAAACTGTGTTTGTTTATGGCAGATTATTTGTATGGGGCAAAACAGACAGCACACGGAAATAATTACAGCCGCCCATGCTGAGCAAAGTGTTTACTGTAACTGTTTTCCTTTGTGTAAGTAGTTCAACCTGTCTTTGTCACACCTTCAAAATTCCTGCATCAATGCCAAAAGCATTGATAAGATTTCATCCACCTCAACAAGTCTCATGCTTGTCAAATGCTGACAACTAAGAGCATAAAAGCCAAGACACAAATACACAAAATGAACAAATTGTGCTTTGAAATTATACTTATATTTTCCGGAGCAGTTTGCGTCTTCACAGAAGGTGAGTTTGAACATTTTCTGTTTACTGATGCCTTTCTGTTTAAATGACAGTTATGTAACTCTGAGATGTTACTTTTAATTGTGGAATTTGGGCTATATACTTTCACTGCTAAACTTTACCGTTCCATTTTAACAGAGAGTCATCAACTTTGTCACATCTTTGGATGCTTTGACTCAAGTGACACTCAGGTTATCGTAACTCTGGATGATGATGAGTTGTACCATGTGGATTTTAAAAAACATAGTCTTGTTTGGGAGAACAAAATTCCATCATTTCTCCGTGTCGAGTGGCCTTACAAATATGAGGAATGGTATAGAGATGTATGTAAACGTAAAGCATATATATGGACACCAGACAAGTCAGCCACAAGGAGTGAAGGTAGGAGAATGTGCCAATTATTTGTTCACTTGACAAAGATAGTAATACTTAGCTAATTTTCTTACAAAAATATAGTTCAAATAAATGTTATGTGCTACTTTAACTACCAGCTCCACCAGAAACTGTCATCTACCCCAGAGATGGAGTGATAGAAGAAGAAGACAATACCCTCATCTGCTTCATCAACAAATTCTTTCCTCCTGTGATAAACATAAAGTGGACAAAGAATGATGAGGAGGTGACAGTGAAAGATGCTTTCATTAAATCTATCGCCAATCCTGATGGGACGTTCCATGTCTTCTCCTACCTGAACTTTATTCCAAAACAAGGAGACATCTACAGCTGCACCGTGGAGCATGAAGCACTGGAGGAGCCTCTGACCAGGTTTTGGGGTGAGAATAAAAAAAACTTTTTTTACTTTTTACTTTGGGAAGTAAAGATGCTTTTAACCTTTTTTCATCTCCTCTCCAGAAGTTGAAACAGAGGAGAGTAATGGTCTGGCTGTCTTCTGTGCAGTTGGCCTCTTTGTTGGGCTTGTTGGAGTTGCTGGAGGAACTTTTTTTTTTGTGAAAGGAAACACACCGGATTCTACTGCATATTAAAACAAAAAGGACCTCAGACAAAATTCTACATTTACATCTGTAGGTCTTGCTTGCATTCTGCAGTACATTTTCTTTCTATTAGTGTTGAGCTCAGTGAAGTTTTTATTACGTTGCAGGCATTGAGAAAATATATGGAAGTGGATAAAGCACAAGATGTTTAAAGAGTTTTGAAAAATAAAAAGACACTTTTTTGTTTGTGAAATAAATTCTTTTTTATATGTTCATATATTACAGTAGTTATTTCAGAGCTTTATAACAAACTACCCTCACTGAGAAAAGGCATTCATATATTCTGTTGGGTTCTTCATGTATATGAATAAACTTATTCTAGCCCAGCTCATGTAATGTTGACTTCTGTGTAAAATTTGAATTAAATGAAAAAGTGATGTTGAAACTACTCTTTCATGAATGAGACCAATATATGTTTCCACTGTCATTTTGAATAAAAACAAGATCAACTGATGGAAACATGTGTGAATTTGGTATATTCAGCTGATAAGCTGATATTTTGGTGGGCACACAATAGCACTAAACCACTGAGTTTAAAACCGCAACATCATGTCTGTTGAATTATTTCAAATGGTTTTGAGTCACCACAGGATTTCACCTGTATGTGGCTTTAAAATGACTATAAATACTGTGAATTTACTGAAACTAAATTTCTCAAATGTCCCTCATTTGAACACATATGGAAAAAAAGTCTGTTTGACTATAAGCACAGATTTGTCTTGAGTCATTGAAGCATTGTAACTTCAAACAACCAAACATGACTTAAATTAAGGTATCTTTACTCAACCAAGATTTCCTGTAAATTAAATTAATGAACGGTCTGCTGAAATCATCCAGAGGTACTTTCATGAAAGCCTGAACAACACTTCCTCATTACATACCAAACTCTAAACACTGCCAGGAAAGCCTGGCAAAGAAGTGTTGCCCAGCCAGAAATACTAGATAGTTCGAACAACATTTATTTCTCAGAAAACCCCCACTGCTTGTTTACAGTGTTAATACTGGTGTTATTTTTTTAATGATATTTGTCTTCATCATGTTTTATCTTTGGACAAATAAAACCCACATCCACACCATGTCATAATATCAATGAGGATGCTGAAAAAGGTAGTTTAAATATAATCAAGTACATGAAACCAAAGCAAAATTATACTTGCTGTCTTACTTTTTCTTCCTCATTCTTTATTTCCCTCATTTTAAAATTGAATAAGGTGCTTTGTTCTCTTGAAAAAAAGGGGTTTTTCCAAAGCAATCTGAAATTTAAATCCTCATAAACGCTCACACTTATTAAAACAGCCCAATAAAAATAAGTGAGGAATCGTCTGTGACCTCCTCAGCACTATCACGTTCAATTCTTGAATACCGTGCGCTACTGGTAGAGTATAAATTATTATCATATGTGAAATGTAATTTTTCTCAATTGTGGGGTTGACTGATCACTGTCTCCTCCTTTTCTCTATCAGAGAATTAATTAAAATTAAGCTCCACAAAGTCTCCTCTCAGACATTCAGTTTGAAAGGCGAAGTGAAATGTATCACCTTTCAATTCTATGCAAGTTTGTGTGTGAGCTCCCAGTAAGACTTGTGTGACTGTGTGTGGGTACTCTTTCACACAGAACTAATCAGTTTGAATAGTCTTAGTCAAGATCCAGATTGAATCGTGGAAATATGTGCAACAAGCAAGCAGAATGTTCTTTTAGGGCACGTTGGAGCACGTTGGACCTTTGGCATGTTACTGAATGTTGAACTTCTTCAAGGTTCAACATCTCAGGGTGACACAGTTAACTAACACATGCAGTTGTTACTTTAATGTGAAAACCTTCCATTCGGGAATATCTTCTCTATGTTGTCTGCATACACGTTTTAAAATAAGGTTCAACCCAATCCGTGGTTTGTTCTGAGTGCAAATCACGTAAATCAGGTAACCTGAACTCACAAGTTCCATTTTTAAAGAGCATCAGTGACATCTATCGTGTGGTCAGGATGCTGCAGGCAGCATTTTACTGCACTCATGATTATGTGGATGGTTTTGGAATCATTTGGGATTAACAAGGGATTTTTTGACTAGCATTTGATTCTATCCCTAAAGATTACTGAATAAATGATTTGGATGTGCGGCTTATGCAACGTCGAGCTGCAGGCCCTGCGTGATAGCAAATTTCCCTTTGAACCAAAGCAGTGTACATCAATTTACACAGTAATGGAAAAGTGTGGTTTGTCTGTCTAGTCAGTCATTATTTATAATTATAACAAGTAAAGGATAGAAAAAAGACGTAGTAGTTTTTTCTCCGTTAAAGAATTTGACTTACAGGAAAATTACTTTAATAAAATGTTAACTTGACCTCAGTTTTTTTTTATATTGCTATTTCACTCAAAAGTCAGTGGTATAATTAATTAGCTACTTACTTTATCTTTAATCATTTGCTGCACGTTTTCTGCACAAGATAAATGAATGCCTGCTTTCCCCCAATGTGTTAAAATGATGGACATAATGTATCACTATATTCTGATCACTTCCTGAAATGTCAATAAATGGCTCTTTTCAAATCAACTCATTAAAAAGAAGAAAAGTTCCTTATAAACGAGCTTCTGCTAAGAAAAAAAAGAACAAGAGTCGAAATAGATTACATGTGATTAATCTGGATTAATTTATGTCGACACAAATCATTTACTTGCCATAGTTGTCTCAAAGTGTGTTATGTTTGATATCAGCAATCTTTCATATAATTCCCTCATATGTGTTTTCTCTGCAGCACCATGAAGTCACGCAGGTTTTATCTAAAAATGGGACAAAAAAGAGGGTAGTTACAAGAAAGTACATATATTTACTTCAATATACTGATGCATAACATTCATTTCATTGCTCAAGGACGTTTGGTGATTATTTCTGTCCAGTTTGACATTATAATTCTCCTTTATTACAGGATTAGTCAGGTCATGCTTTGACACAAGCTGTTTTTTTTCTTCCCTAGCCAAACTAATAACCTATTTTTTCTCTCTTTTTTAACATTCAGTACCACAGTCTCCTGGGTGCGGAACCATGGAACCGACAGAGGAGAGACATGGAGGAAATGCAACGCCACCACAGTGTCTGAAACGTCCTGTGAGATGTTGTGTTTTCACTTATGCAACTCTGTTTATAAATCTGTGAACTGAAATCCTTGAGAGCCAACCCTACACATGCAATTGCAAATATCAAAATAAATCAAACACTGGAATCTCGACCGTTTATGCAGAAATAATATCTCACTTACCCCAATTTAGTCACAAGGAGTCGAAACTGTTTATTGTAACCATTAAATCATTATCTTGTGAGGTGATCTTTGTACGGTTCTTTCGGCTGTGCTTTTACATTGAGGATCCCGTCCTCTTATTTCCTGTAAGTCTTCCTGTGTTGGCACTTGACGCAGCAGCTGCACTACGCCGCGCATCTTTGGACGGTGGTGTCCAATAAAAACTAAGAAGCGGAGGAGACATGCTTATGGATCGGATTTAATGAAACAGTGATGAGAAGAACACATTTCAGTGCGAAAACTAAGATCTTCTCCGGGATCTAAGTGGCAGAAAGACGCTTGAAGCTTGAAGCTGCGCTCGCTGTTGACTTGACTTGTCAAGGAGTTTTGTCGTGTTTTTTCGTTTCTTTTTCTTTCCCCCCCGCTTTAATTCATACGCGACACTGATGCAGGAGCAGTAGTTTAGAAAACTGGTGACTGTTGCTCACGGCTGGGCTGCTTTCATGTCTTGGGGGAGCCTCCTGTGCGCAGGGGGCTGGTGTGCGCAGAGCAGCCGGGGCATTGCGGAACGCTCGCTGGAGGTGTTGCTGATGCAGAAGTGAGGAGCAGCTCTGGTCATTTTTTTTTCTGGATCTCACTGTGGATCGTCCTGAAAACGCAAGTTCGATAGCCTACAGCTTCTTACGTTTTGGCCATCACCTGTGCGCAGGGACTATGTTAATGAAGGAGTACCGCATCTGCATGCCTCTCACTGTGGAGGAGGTAAGAGAAGTTTCCCTGTGGTGCGTCCTGGTCTGCCTGCTTCTTATCTCTCTCTCTCTCCCCGCTAAACAAGAACCTAAACGTCTTAGAGGTTTTGGTGTTGTGCAAATTCTATCCCTGAACTGATTCCTAAAGTTGGCAGTGATGCATTTGCGGAGTTGCAGCAGAGTTGCAGCCGTGCGTCCGCTGGGTGGAGCTGCTGGTTCCCGTTATCCTGCTGAGTGGTGCCACAGAGCAGCAGAGACGTTTAAGGGACTACAGAGGCAGCAGAGGGAGTTGTGTAATTTTTGACGGGGAAGGGCAAATCAATGATCTGTTTCAATTCGTTTAGAGCGTTTGGATTGTTAAGTTGTCTGAATGAAAAAGGGGAAGGCACCGAGCACTTTCAGCCTCTATTCATAGTTCCGTTAGTCAATTGTTCCAGGCCACTGAGCAATGGCACTGCACTATCATTCTTAAGCGTCCAGATCATGTTTCATAGGTGCTTTGTAAGAAAAGTAACTGATTTATTGAAAATCACATGAGCTTTTCTCTGTTATATTACATGTAGATATCCTCAGAAGTAAATCCGAATTAGTAATCAGATCCTGAGAAAATCATTTTTGAGAATTATGTAGCCCTATTTCATCATTCATCTTCTCACAGGTCTAGGGACAGCTATTTGAGAAGAGATCATACTGTAGGAGCCATCCATATTAAAGTGGAATAACCGTCACTAAGCAGAGGTGGTGCAACCACTTTGCAGTGAGATGTGATGTAACCTCTGTATTTTTCCTCAGCTAGTATCACCTCCAGTCACTCCTTAACTTATATAGCCAAAAATGATCCACAGGGTGGCTAGATTGATCTGAAACAAATCACTGACGTTTGATAGTCTCAGTGCTAATGGGCCTTGAACACTTTCAGAGGCACCAAATTCATCCAAACTCAGCAAGCCTCTCATATAAGTCAAATCTCTTCAAGAGGCAGAGAATAACAAAGAAACCTAATCTCTGATTGTTTTTCTTATTCTTATGTGTTGCAAAGTACGAGGGATTTATTTACCTCATGCTAATTTACTCAGTTTGGTTTGAATTTTTAATAGAATTTGACATGAGTTCTTGTTTTGTTTTTAGTTTTTTTGCTCTTTATTGTGAAACATGCATAATGCATAGTTATGACTACGTCTCTCTTTGTACCACCGTCTACCAGAATGGGCTTCCACGTGTGGCTATCATTGTTTTTATGCATGTTTTATATGTTTGGAATAAGATATGTGTGACTGTGTTTCTTCTGATTGTTCAGTTCGATGGTAATTTAACCAAAGAGTTGTGATCAGCTTTACCATGTTTCACCGTCCTAAAGGCAAAGTTTCAAACGTGACAGCTTCCAACAGCAGGGACTATGTGCCACTATTGGTCTGTCAGTGCTTTCTGACAAAGCCAAATCCATTTATCCTTGACAGAATGAATATGGCATTGATTTATCTTTATTTGACTCAACTCACAAAGCTGCATTCAACACTGAGCACTGATATCTTTTGGTTCTTGACCCTTTAAGGTCTTGATGTGCGTTTCATGTTTAATTTGATTACTAGTTTGGTGCTTTATCCCATCGTGTCCTGAGGCTGATTGGCTTCTGTGCTTTGCTTCGCTCTGTTGGTGATGAAACACACAGCTGTCCTCCACAGTCAGCCAAAGGCTATTCCATCTGCTGCCGTAATGACAATAATGTGCTCCAGCCTAATCTATTGATCTCTCAGTGATTTGGTAAATGAATGTTTGGAAACTGTTCATTTTTACACCTTGAAAATATGCACCTGGACAACCCCCCCCCCCCCCCCATATGAATCCTGTAGATATCATCACATAATCATGAATTCACTCACTAACCTTTTTGCATTTGTTGGTTTTAAGCACGAAAAAACAATCATATCTGCCTTCGTTTCCTTTATGTTTTAATTATTTAGTTTTCACAGTTTACATGACAAGTGCAGTCTTGGTTTCTACAGCTAAAAACATTGTTTTGATGCTCCACCCTAATTCAAAATGGAAAATGAAAAATCCTAATTGAATTGAGCCACAAGGGAATTCAGCAACAGGTAAAAGGAGCAGAATAGTCTTTTTGTTTTGAATTGTATTGAAGGAGCAGCGTGAGGTGTGGGGACATCTGGCAGCTCTCAGAGTTATCTGGACAATCCTGCGTCCCTCCTCACTCAAAACACTTCCCAACCACAGCTATCTGCTCAGACTCTGGGGGTTTTCTCCTGTTTGCTTCTGTCACCTGTGTACATGGGCTGCCTCATATCACCACAAGGCCCAGGTCCAAGATTTTTTTCTCATGTCCCTGAAGGGAAGGCTCAGTGTTATGACTAACAAGAAGTCTGTTTCGTCCATGTTCCCCGAGGAGCTTGTCAGTCAGCCAGAGAGCCGAGAGTGACCTGGAGCACTGGCACCAGATGGTACAAAACATGCACGCCCAGATAACCTGCCATACGTCAAAAGATGACACAGAGAGTCGCTGTGAAAAAGTCTGTTTGCACAAAGTTTAAAGATATGTTCGAAATCACATTCAGCTCATTTTTACAATAAAGTAAGATCATGTTAGCTGTGGCTTAAACACACGGGTAGGTTCTGTTCAAGCCATTTTAAGACTGAATAGCAGAACAATATCAGTATTAGTTCATTACTCTGACGTTAGAAAACAGATTAGTGGCTTTTTGTACAAACCATCTTTGAGCAGTATCTCTATCTTTCAGACAAATCTGTTGATTTACCAGAATGAGAAAAAAAATTATACTAGTTTTTTCCTTCTATCAGGTCTGAAAATGCAGCATATTAAACATTTCTAGCTGAATTGTTGACAGTTACTCTGGTTAGGAAGCTGTGAGCTTGCCAGCATGTGGGAGAGAATTGATGAGTTTACAACAGAGGGATAATTGAAACATTGTTGGTCTTTTTGTGCTCATACACCTTGTCTGAGATCAGAGCAAGCTGTTACAGAATCCGCCCGAAGGCTTTTTAATCTGTAATACAAATTGATTAAAGCCTAATGTTTTGTCTTAACTCATGATGCTCGTGTTGTCTTCTTAAACTGACACTAGATTTTTTTTTCATCTTTATTTTTAGAGAACACGACCCAAAAAGATTTTTTTTTTTAATTGGCATTAAAATCTTTTGTTTCACCATGTTTGTTAAATGGTTATTAATTTATTCATTTTATTACAACCTCATTTAAACTAAACTAAGTGATCCATTCATCTGTTTTCTGTGCCAGTTTTATTCTGTTCAGGGTTGTGGGAGGGGACGGGTGCTTGTCCTGGTTGCTGTTGGCAGAGGCAGGGTACAGGTCACCACTCCACAAGACACTACACAATAAGAAATGAGACAAATAACCATTAAAAAACACACCAATGGCCAATTTAGAATCACCAATTATTCAGAGGCACGTGTTTTTAATGCTGGGAGGAACCCTGACTAATAGGAAAGACCAATAAATGTTTTCCGCAATGATGTCAAAGCTCTCATATTTCCCACCTGCAAACGCCTGAAAGAGGGGCAGGTAGGGCCATCGAGGTAACATCTTAAGATCAGTGGTATGGACACAATGGAAAGAACAAACAGACAGAAATAGCCATGTTCCACAGCAACATCAATGATCTGCTACACACGGAGGGTCAATGCTTTTCTATCTTTAGTCCAAAGTGGAGGTCTAAATAAAGAGTAGTTGTGCAGGAACAGCTGGTCAGGTGTCTAGAAGTTGTGAGTACAGGGGCGACAAATGGAAAGGTGGGAAATGAAATGAGTCCCAAGGGCAGATCTAGTCTGTATGAGTGTCATCGTGTTACAAGGAAAGATTTCATAGTGTCATTGACACACTGTAGTGTCATTTAGCAAAATCGTCATTCGGCTCAGTTAGAAACATGGCTGTACTTACATTCACAACACTCTTCCTCAGAGCTAGTTAAGCCCACAGGGTCGGGGAATTGATCGAGCTTTATCTGATAACTGGATTCCTCTCCTGTGCGCGTATATGTGGAGGCAGGTTGTGGTGTGATTAATTGTTCAATTGTGAGCTGTAATCATAGCCCAGTTCAGTTGTGCATGTAACCATCCCGT